CTCCTTGCATGATTTGTTTTTAATAGCTACTAAATTAAATAATCATACATTTGAAGAAAAAATTAATCAAAAAAATAAAAATAAACTAATCTTTAATCAATTGGGAGAGGAAGAGATGGAGGAGAGTGTAGGGTGTTTGTGTATAAGAGAGAGAGAGAGAGAGAGAGAGAGAGAGAGAGAGAGAGAGAGAGAGAGATGCAGGGAGAAACAGCAGCCGTCGAGGGGAGTAGGGAAAGGAGAATGGGAATAAAGAAGAATGCATAGACCTAATTGGTGAAGTAGTGTTTGCCTGACAGAAATCCTCGACGGGAACTTTCACTTAATTGTCGAGCAAACGTGAACTTAGCCAACGAATCAATGTTTTGTCCCGCAAGCCATAATGACTTGCGCGCCAAATTTTTTGTTGGCGCCAAAATCTTGCCCTATGACAGTCAAATGTGGAAAACTTTCATCGCCTAAAGTGCATTTGAGTGACAAAAATAGTCGCTCAAAATCTTCAAGTATATGCGGGTAAAGAGTTTTTTGGCACCAAATAGTCGCATGACGAAGAATTTCCCGCTTAAACACTACACGATATATTTTACGTTTTCTTTCCGTAGATACAATAGATAAAAAAAACCTAGAGATCGGTGCGGGTTCAAAAGGAGGAAAGTGCGCAACATAAGCAAATCATTTATGATGATATGAGGGGATTGAATACAACGACGAATGTGGAGCTTATGCACGACATTCTGGTACTAGTGCGGATCAACTGTTTTACAGAGCGGGCATCTTGGAACAATTTTCCCAAGGACCTGAAGAAGTCTATGTTGGATGAATTATCAGTAAGTGTAAATTTGTAGATTTTTGTTAAATAGTATATTATAATGATTAATTTGTAATTATTTTTTGTGTCACAATGTAACTATATTATTTATGTTACGGACCAATGCTTGATGAAGTTGATCGATGAGATGTTCAGGACGCATTACTGGCAGTGGTGGCCTAACATCTAGAGACACGTAGAATTACAATGAAATTGTAACGGTCTAGTGGAGTGGAAGTGTTAATTAAGTGTTGTGGATGAATAACATATGTTTATATTTATGTATTTGAGGACGATGTTTTTAATTATTTCTTTAATATGTATTTGAATTAAATTTTCAGAAACTGATTAGTTGGTTAATTTGATTTATTTGGTTTACTTAATTTGATTTAATTTTTTTATTACTAAATCAATTAGACAATAAACTGTTTGTTTACATAAGCTTCAAATTTTCAAATAAATATTTAAATTCAATGTCCTTTGTCGGTTCAGGATTTAGGCGACGAACCTATCATCGCACGGAAATATTTGTCGCGCAAAGTGGCAAAAAAAATGCAGGTAGATTTCACGCCAATTATCGACGGTAAATGTTTTGCGCGACGGAGATTTCGTTGCACAAAGAGTTCGTGTTTATAATCAGATTGCTTAGTTGTAAAGGTAGAAACTGCAAATTTCGCAGCAACTGCCTTTGCCACAGCAAAAATTCAGCCTTCCTCCTTCCATTACTATCAAATCCATCCTCTAATACTCCCATCATCTCAATCTTCATCATCTCTCCCTCAATCGATCTATCCTACTCTATAAGGTATGGGTTTTTGTTTTGTATTTGAAAATTTCATTGTGAATTCATACTAACGCCATTAAATTTGTTTTCTATAGAGTTATTGTGTACGATTATTGATTGGTGAAAAACGAAATTGGAGGCATGTTCTTTGGTTTTTAAATTTTAAATTATTTAATTTATTTTTAAATTATGGTGTGTCAAATTGTTTTTAATATAAACTATTGTGTACGTCACGAACAAAATTGTTTTGTGTTGTACAAAGTTAATACTAACTAACTTCATGTGCGTTCTTTCAAAATAAACTTAGTTTACTGTTCGAGGATTAGTTGGATTTTGCACATGGCTGTGAAAGCATATGACTGTTGTCCAATTGATTCTTGAATTATCCCATTATTTGGACAGTTTGAGAATGCATAGTTATGCGGCGTAGTTTACGGTTCACAGATTAGGTTTTGGTCATGGGAATTTCGGTCATAGTTTTTTACATTCTTCGAGTGCCTGATATATATTTTTTATCTACATTGTGCACTTAAAGAACTGTAGAGAGATGGTGCCAGAATTGTCTCACGTCAAAATCTAATCTGATGGAGCAATAAACAACATCACGTAACTGTGCATTCCAGAATGTGGATATGAAATACTGATTATTACTGTTTGCAGGGTTTGGGAAACACTATAATTATAAGGGAGGTTTTGCCGAAATTTCGGCAGAATTTTAGAGTATGTTTGACTAACTTTAATTTTTTCTTTTCCAGCTAAGAAAAACACCTAATGTCCTTGCCAATAGTTGAAGACAACGAAGGTCACCCAGGTGATCAACGATTGTATCACGATTAGATAAGACTAGTGGTGTAGCACTTTGGTCCACGATGTTGGGCACGTCATTTGAACCTTTTGCCCTATACGGTGGAAATCTTGGCGGGTCATGCCGGAGCGTCAAAAGGTAGAGGTTCGCGATTGTTTATCGGTAAGTATCCAACTATTTTATATTTGTGTGTGTATATATATATATATTATACTAATAAATTATGCAATATTTAATACTATGTTTATATTTGTTAAATTGTAGACATACTACAATTTCGACAACATTAACGAGTCCATGGCCGCCCACCTAAAGAGGCTCTTCACTGACCTTTACAAGCAATGTAGGAGTGAACTCCACAAATGATTTGAGTTGTTTAATGATCTGAGGGTCGCTCCCCTAAAGGGTGTCCCTCTGCAATTGGAGGAACGCCTAGAGGACTGGGCGTGGCTCTGCTACCATTTTCAGGATAAGTCCTCTATGGTATGTCTGTTATTACGTCTTAATTAACTATTGTTTTTCTAAATTCTTATGTTAATTAATTTTTTTTTATATTTTCTTCAAATATTACAACTAATACGTTCATTTTGTGTGCAAAAAAAGAAGGCGAAGGCCAACAAGATCAACCGAGACAAGAAGACTCGACCAGTCGGGATCGAGGCCTTTCTCAAATAGGATGGAGGCTCGACGGCGGGTAATAAAGCTTTTCATATTCCAATTGTTATATGTGACAAAGATTTATTTCTTTTTTGCGCACTAACATTTTTCTTAAGTTTTTATGTTCCAGGATGATTCAAAACTCCCCAAGATCGACGTCTTCAAGGACATTTATGTTCAACCAGGGGATGAGTTGACCGAGCAGCTACATGTTAGTAGAGCTAAACTCTTGTTACTCTCTTACACTTCCAACTATTTTAAAAACTAAATTAAATATTAAATATTAATATTTTTAATATTTCCTTTCTTTTTGTCACAGGCAACGATGGTAGAGAAAAGCCAGTCTATTCTTCAGGAGACAACCTCCTAGCTTCCCCTGGACACTAGGGTTGGGGGCGTGGATTTGCCCGAGGATGCAGGGTTTCGAATCCTGATAGAGACCTTGGATCAAACCCTTGATCGGAGACCGAGGAAGTTTAGTTGGGAGATGGGGAATGCCCGGGAGCGAGACACTGGGCCTCTTCAGCGACACGTGTAAAGGGTGAAGTCACAACATTGACGTAAGAAGTGGGCAACCTAAGGAGTGAACTCATGTACACCTAGAGTTAGATGTTGCTGATCGTACAAGCCCTCAGCTTGTCCCACTAGGTGTTGCCCCGTCCACTTCTGAGCCCCTCTACCAGGAATAGAGCTAGAACCTCAATCAGTCGACCTTTAAGCCTTTCCATCAGCCTGCCACCATTGACGCAGTAGACTTGTCAAACCTTTTTATTTTAGATTTTCTGTTTCCCTTACTTTTAAAACTTTTGAAATTGTACGTACATTTTTCTTTGTATTATAAATAAAACAAATTTATTCATTATTGCCACAATTTAATTATAAAAAAAATGTAATTAACTTTTTTATAAATTATTGTTACAATTTAATTTTAAAAACAATAAAATTGTTGTTTTAATTTAAAAAATGTTTTCAGAACCCAATAGAAAAAAATATGTATATTAAACTTTACGCAATGAAACCTTTCATCGCGTAACAGTAAATGCCACAACCATATTTGTCGCGTAACAGTAATATGCATACGACAAACTTGTGATAATTAAATAATGTTAAAATTATGCCAATTTTGTTTCGTGAATGTTTACTAGACGACACGTTTCGTCGTGCGATTGTTTACTAATGCAGCTTTTTCGTCCCCATGAGTAGAATATGACAACAGACTTTTCCCTCGTTGTATTTCACACGACAAATTAAGGTCTTTGTTATGTTACATTTAATGTGACGAATCAGTTTTTCAACGCACAGTCATTTGTTGCGCAACAAATTTCATTATTTTGTCTCGCAACTTTTTTTTTCATGACCTTTGTGCTACAAAGATATCTTCACTTAATATCTTATGAGACAAAATATTACTTTCTGCGACAATTGTCCTTAGTCACCAAAACTGTAAAATGTAGAAGTGAATGTTGACCAAATTCGCCGTACGAACTAATTATTTCCTCAAGGCAAGGTTTCGTAGGGCAACCCCAATTTTCTGATGGCAGGTGAGCTTGTAACATATATGGAACAATATCACACAGTTTTTGCGAATATATAGTTACGTGCCTGAAATGACACTAAATATGGGACCATATTTCAGTTTTGTTTTTTATTTTGTTGCTTTGGTATATAAGAACTAATTAACTAAATTGTGTTCTAGAATTAAGATAATTCAAATCTGTTCATTGATTGATGACAGTACTGGATGAAGGTGTTTGTTTCCATGAACAACAACATTTCGGACAAATGGATATAATTTGTATAAATGGTGCTTTATTAATAGCTCATTCCTCATATCTAATTCTCCCTCTGTGTTAAGTGATCTCTTCATTTCTCTCTGATAAGTTATCTGTTTGTCTCTCTCTCTCCCTCTCTCTCCCTCTCTATCTATTCATTTATCTAGCTCTATAGAGATGGAGATGGCTGACCAGAGAGCAGAAAATAACGTCGTCTCCGACCAACCCCAGAATAGTATTGCAGACTTTGATCCCCCAAAGAAACCCAAGACAAAGAAGTTCGTTGTTGCCTGTGCCGTTTTGGCTTCAATGACGTCTATCTTACTGGGTTATGGTGATTGTTCCTTAAAACTGATGGATATTGTTAGTGGTTGTGGTTCTCAAATGATACAATCATTCTCCACTCCTGTTCTTATTCAATTAAAAATATTATCTTACTATTGCAATCCGCCATTCTCCGTTCCTACTCTTTTTGTTTTGGAAGAAACTTCTCCACCTGCGGCGCATGCTTATTTCAAATTTATTTACAGATATTGGTGTAATGAGTGGAGCATCTCTCTTCATCAAAGAAAACCTCAATATCAGCGATGTTCAAGTTGAAGTTCTTAACGGTACCTTGAACATATACTCTCTCATTGGCTCCGCCTTAGCCGATAAAACCTCTGACTGGATTGGACGCCGGTACACCATAGTACTTGCCGGAACAATCTTCTTTATTGGAGCTCTCCTCATGGGTTTTGCCCCGAACTACGCCTTCCTCATGTTCGGTAGATTCATTGCCGGAGTTGGAGTTGGCTATGCTCTCATGATAGCTCCTGTCTACACCGCCGAGATCTCTCCGGCCTCGTTTCGTGGCTTCCTCACATCTTTCCCCAAGGTTTGTTTCATTACCATGTTATATTATCATATAATATAGTAACTATTTTTGTTATTAGCCAAGGTAATATGTTTACGTAAATATAAGCATCTAAGTATTTGAAAAAAGTTATGCTTGCGAGACCATATATTTATATCACATTTATGTATCATCTCATGTGACACGTGGTGCATACAATGAACATTCAATAAGATAAATTCATTAATTGATATGGCATTTAAACCATCACTTGCCACGTCCGAAGGTATAAAAATATGGTAAAAAAATGTGATATTCTAACAATTTCCTCGTAAAAAGTAGGGGACTGCTTGCTATTCACACACCCCTTTTTACCTCCCACACACTCTTGTTAATTTTTGTCTGCTGGTCTTCTTCAATTCATTCCATTCGACGGCCAAAAATTGAGAGAATGTGTGAGATGGTAAAAAGAAGTGTGTGAATACAACCACCCAAAAAATAGTGCTAGGGAGACCAGATATTCATAGCACATTAGTGTATCATCTCATGTGGAAAGTGACGTAGACAATCAACATTCGATTAGATAAATTCATTAATTAATGTGACATGTACACATCGCTTGCCACATTAGATAGTGCACAAATGTCATATAAAAATGTGGTCACCCTAGAATTTTCCTGAAATATCTACTCGGTGGCGCTATCCACACCATGTTTTACTTTCCATACACCCTCTTAATTTCCGACCGCAAGATCAAATGAACTAAAGAATATCAAAAGACGGAAATTAACAAGAGGGGTGTGAAAAATATTAATGGTTGTGTAGATAGTACCACCCTATTTATTGTTTCATAAACCTCTCACATGCATGCACTTGGAGTTTGCTAGCTAGCATTATCCTTTTAAAAAAATCACTAAACACAGCACATGAAAACCCCAGTCTACCTAGACATCCATTGACTTACCCGTAAACCCTCACCCTCGCTTATCGACTCTCCCTTTATTCTTCTCTCTGATCCTAGCGTCCTTTCTAACATTTTCTAGTGGACACAAAATCTTCATCATCAAGATCGATCGAGCACACAAGTTCAATGCTCACTCTCACCTTTTGGGAAGGTTCAGAGTCTCAGACATCTTATTTTCTTTGTTAAGTAACAAGATGTTCTATCGATATGTTTGGTAGATGTGTTTAATATATAATTGTTTTTTCTGTTAGAACATTTAGTTAATTTAGAATCTTCTCTGTAATTGCAAGAAGGTAAATTTTTATAGTAATTATTTTAGGAATTCGTCTCAACAATCCAGTTTTTAATAAAACTATTTTCACTCCCTATCTGCATCATTATTTTAAATTCATTATTTTCAATATGGAAAATATTTTCATAGCCACCCAATAAAATCAATTTATTGAGTATCTCAAATTGAAGGTAAATACCGATCAATCGTGTCTCCTATTCTTTCTATTCATTTATAACATTTGGGCATTGGTCTTAGCTCCCATAATTCCACAACATTCTACCATCATCATAATGACTGTAGTCTTGACTGTTGTCCTCATAATTTCTACCATCATCAGTAGATGTGTCATGCCTTCCCTTTCTAGTTATGCATTTCCACTTGCTTCAAAGCCAAATGAGTGAAATCATAACCCCATTTGCTACTGAGTGTTGATGACAAAGCAAAATACCAAACAAGTGCCTTTACTTTCTCATTTTATTAGCCAAATCTGCTTAGCCCTTTTCTGAACCTTTCAGTGTTACAATGCCCATAACTTCTTCTAGAAAAATGATATTAACAATCCGTGAATTGCTCCAGAAAATAGACATCCGTAGCTTTCCAAGTATATAAGGGTCATTTTCTCATTTATTCTGAGCTATTCGTAACATGCTTCCAAAGTCAGCTAATCTGCACAGGCAGTTTTGACGAATTTGTTACTTAATATCTCACTTGTGCTACTTTTCTTTTCTTTGCTTGATAAATCACACAAAACACAAAAACATAGTAAATAGCTCAAAAATTTAAGGAACTAACTAAGAAAAGACAAGTGAATTTTATGTAAAATATATATAAATATGAGCTTATCAAATGCCCCCACACTTGGCTTTTGCTAGACCTCGAGCAAAATAAAGAAAACAAAACACAACCTAAACCTTCCAACGTTTGCCTCAGGGATTTCCAACGCACATGATAAATTAAAAATCATCATTCCCACAGATTTTAGTCAACTTAACACTTGAGCACATACTTAATCACAGTCACCACTTACTAGTTCACATTTAACCAATTAAAACGATGTTTTGAATGTAGTAACATGCCTTAGAGAATTTACTCAATTCCTTACAAGATATTCTCTATTTTCACACACATTTTCTGACTACACACCCTACACTAGTTATATGTGAGAAGATTGATGTAAACATGAAAACAAACACTCACATATATGTATAACAAAGAGGGCAATTTTCTGGAGTTATTCAGCATGTTTAGATATGATCTCATGAATGGAACGCTACTATTTAGATGCGAGTATCAGTGACACCATATGCTCATACCAATTTCAAACTCCACAAATTGAAACACATAACACTCAAGATAGAAGTCAAGGGTTGTAACGGGGCTTGGGGTATTGGCTAATAAAGAAAGGATAGGAATAACAAATGTTCTTAAAGCGATAGCAAGCAAAGCAATGAAATAGACACTTTGGAATTCACTTTAGAATGCAGAATCAACTTTTAAATACAAAGGAAAGATTCATGCAACACTTAGGGCTCTTTTTCACAACTTTTCTTCTTTTCATTCTATTTTCCACGAATGTTTTTTTTTCTTTTTCTTTTCTACCTGTGCCTTATTAAGGACTTTGGCACACACACACACACACACAAGAATCACTTCCCCCACACTTGTTTTTCTGCAAAAGTTCAACAAAAGGAATTCCTTCTAAATTATGTTTTACTACGCTTCAAGAACAAGGGTATGGATGGTCCTAATCTAGGCTAGGTGAGGATATTTTGGGTTAACAAAGAACATAGGCTACACAAGGCTCAACGGGGTTAAACTTAAACACATAATGAAATAGGGCACGGCAATTTTGGCTGTGTGGTGGTCACTACACAAACTTCATCTTGAATATGTATTATGCAAATCAATAACATGCTTTGAATGAAATAGGCATGAGTTCTAGCATTTGGAACTAACTGATGAAACGCCTTCTAAGTAGCAACCAAGCAAAGAATAATGAGATCATGCAACGACTTTAGAAAACAATGATGCACAAATTATTAACTCTCCAAATAAACGTTTAGGCTCAAGTCTCACAAGGTTGTAGCGTACATTTGAGTTCCTTCTTTCAAGCATGTTACAAAACTGATTTTTCCCTTATTATTGCATGTGAATTCATAAATTATAACCACAACCAAGCATACACCAAAGAGTAAATCAAATTTTCATCCATGTTTATAACTCTCTTTAACAGTCATGCAAGTAAAAACCAAATTCTCATCATTGTGTTGGAAGGTACCCTAAGACACAAATAAACATACAAAAACAACTATTTTTGGGTTTTTCAAAACAATTTTTCAAATTTTTATGAGATTTTCGGATTTTTATGTCAAAACACACTGAAACACTCCAAAACAGCTTAAAAACACTTAAAACAGCAAGGAACAACACTAGAAGTAATGGGTGATAAACTCCTACGAATTTCATGCAAAGAATGTCATGCAAAACAATGGTTACCCCCCCACACTTAAATCAAACATTGTCCTCAATGTTTCAAGCATAAACTCACATAAACAAACAACGAATAAAAATGACAAGTATGGCAAAGTAAAAATTAGACAGAGTAGAGTTTAAGAACACAAATCTGGTTTTGGAGATAGATGATCTTGTTATCTTTCCACAGCTTTGATCTCGAACTGGTTTGGAATTCTGATCGAGGAATATGAGAGTTCCTTGGCTTCAAATCAGACTCCTTCTGCTGGGTTGATTTGATTGTGCAGTCTGCATTCTTCTCTTCTTGTTTTTTCTGCATGGGGGCAGGCACGAGGTAGAGGTGTTGGTTTGTTTCTTTCTTCAATCTTTCCAAGTGCCCACCTCTTGCTTTCTTTCTCTTTGTCCTTAGCTGAGGATGAATTAGTACATTGTCTCCACATGCTTCGAGGTATCATTTTCACTTCCCTTATCTGTTCCCCAGGCAGATGTGGTAGACAAAGAGGAAGCATAAGATGTTGAAGATGAGTACTCGAGAGCAGGGCTAGGTAAGTAATCAGGAAGGAGGCAGTCGGTTCCAGATCGGAAGATTGATACCAAGTGCTGGCTGATTGCTCTCTTTCTCCTTGTCCCATAGATAAAACAACGACAAGGAGAAGGACAGGGAGAAAGCATGATATGAGATACTCTTGCTTTCAACATTCATGATATGAAATACTTTTACTTTGGATGAGTTATTTGCAGAGGTACCCCAAGGAATAAGGAACACTGAGTGACTCGAGAGGCGTCGTTGGGAAGGCATTCTCGGAGATGATGGAAGGTTATGTATGTCTACCTTGCTATGAAGGGTGAAGGTCGACATTTATAAGAAATAATAACCAGTACTATTCTTTCACTCTTATCGGCAACCGTTGGATGATTGAATAGTAAACTTCACGTGCTTTCTACTTCACCAGAAATCTTCGACAGATGGCTCGTGATTTTCGCAAAGCTGAGCGTGCATGTGATAGATGCAGACACGTTTGGATAAAGCAAATGCCTCTTCGATATCTGGAATCGGCGCTTCGACAAACTGCTCGTGATTTCCGCAAAGCTGAGCATGCATGTGAGAGATGCTGACACGTCTGGAAAAGCAGATGGCTCTTCAATTTCTGAGCTTGCCTCTTCGAGTTCTGAGCTCCGTCGAGTGCAGAGGTTGCATGTGACGTGTGTGGACAAATCTGGAACAGAGGATGGCCCGTGGTTTCTGACCAAGCCCAACTTTTGAGAAAGCTAGCGCCTCTTCGATTTTTGAATTGGCCTCTTTGAATTTTGAGTCACCTCTTCGATATCTGA